TGTAGGGAAGAGTCACAAAAAATTGTTGGAATGCTGGAGAAGGTGTCACAAACCTACAGTGGAAACATATGAAATGACAGGATGAAATTCCTTGGCGTGTTGAAACACACAATCTGATGGTTCTTTCTGGATATAAAAATAACAGGGAAGCTACATCTGTTTGAGATATCAGGGAAGTTGGCTGAACTAGGAATCTGTGGCTGAATATAGATGTACAGTTAATACTTGAAGCATGTTGAGGGCAGCATGTCCATGGGCGACTTTTAGCAAAGATAAATGAGTTTCGCAGAGCTTCCTTTGACAAAGTAGACAAGAGTGGTCCAATCTTTTCAGTGATACCGGCCTTTGAAAACACTTGCAGAAGTACTGAGAACTAGTAGATTTTTGAGGATTCCTGTATTCCTCCTCCATGACTGTCAGATGGATGGTTTTGCTGGGAACCCTATAGTGCAAGGAAGATCACTGTCAGTAGTGAAGACGTAGGCTGCACAACCAGCAAGATAGATGCCTACATTTACTTATTCAAGAAGTCTTCACTAGATTACATTGAAAATCCTGGGCACAACTCCATTCGCACTGGGAATTCTTTGGCTTTCAAAAACATTTTTGTGATTTAGATGAGTTTTTGTGACTCGAGTTATCTTCCAGCACTTACTCAAAATGTTTTTTTGGAAGTGAAGACAATGGAGGAAGGAGATAAACTTAAGCTTATTGTGTTTGTATTTGCTGCATTCACCATTGTCATTTGTGCTTGTGCACGCTCTACTAGTAACACATCGTCTAGGAAAACATGAAACCTCAGTAAGTTTTGTGAACCCATCTCTATACCTGCAAGAAGCTCCAAACTCAAGCCAGCTTTTAGCTGCAAATCAAGGTCTCCAGGTTCCTTCACTGTCTTCTGCACCTGATGTTCTGCAAAATGAGTGGGAGCAGGTGGAAGCAGTAAAGTCATTGAGATTTGTATAATGAACTCCAAAGCATGTAGTGACAACCTTGACAGTGAAGTGGCTAGACTGAAGTCTATAGTATAAAGTATAAAAATAATATTTGGATCTATTTGTTAGTCTTACCTGTTTTTTTAACCTGCATTGCCTTTCTAGCATTTTTTTTTCCAAATATATATTTTGTTCTGCTAACATGAAGAATTAAATACTAGTGTTCCTTTTATCCTATAAAAGAATGAGAAATACAGTAATGGATAGTCAACCATTTAAATAGCCTAAGAGCTACATTTAATTTTCATTTTTTAACATTTTTTTTGTACTTTAACCTTTAGCTTGAATGGTTTGTGAATTTATAAAGAGTTTTTTTAAGATTGAGTATTAAGATTCATTTTAGTAACACAACTCATTCTTATTTCTTCATCGTAAATGAAATAACTGGCTATATAGGCAGTGGTTGTGATAGTTGTGATTGTTTTAATGGGGGTGAAGGCATTGAAGTATTTTAAACTTCAGTTATTTGGCTTCAATCTTTGTATTACGTGTTGGACTGTGAAATGTTTATTTATGGACTGAGACTCTGGGACTTCATAATGTGTTTTGTCCATCACTGAAACCGTCTTTGGGAAAAAGTATGTAATTTATTCTTTTTTCAGATTATTTTTACATAGCACCTGCCTCCCTTTGTACAGGTCTTTATTCTGTATTCAAACAATTAAATAAATCCACAAAAAATAACACAAAACTGGAATTTATTTCATTTCATCATTTTTGTGTGTTTGAATTTTTTGTCACCAGGCTTTTTTTCCTTCTGTCCTTCTTTCACCAGTAAATGACTTCCAGTTGTATCTTGAAGAGTCCTTCCTTGACTCCATTTTCCCTTTCACCTTGTTCTATTGTGCTGCAGTCTGTTGACCATCTCTCCCGTGGGCCTCTCTGGTCTGGCTTCTGCTCTGTGCCAATTCTGAGACAGTTCACGGAATCATTTAAGTTGGAAAAGACCCTTAAGATCATCAAGTCCAACCATTGAATGAAACAGCTTCTACAAATATTAATCCTTTTCCAGAGGAGTTAGGAATGAACTTTTCTTGCATTGTTGCTGTCTTTGGTGACAGCGTGTATCGAAGCAGCATTGCTTAGAGCAATCAAGAAAAAGTGCATCTTTTCTCTGTTTCTTTAACCATTCTAATAGCTTTACAATGTCACAATCTCTAATTTCTTTTTCCTGTTTGCAGTTCTGTGCTCTGTTTTCTCTTGTGCTGCTGACCACACTCACGTCAGTTCTTTTCTGATGCCCTCACAGCTGTATGCTGTAACTCTTCCCCTTTTATCCTTCCATTTCACTAGAAAATTTTTGAAGAGTCTTGGCAAAGCTGCTCATTGCTGGTGAATCATGAGGTTTATCGGGGAGAGTTAAAATTAACTAGTGAACTTGCTGCTGAGCAGGATGCTTCTGCACCCAAAAGCTTGTCTTTTATTTCCAGCTGTATCTGTTGGTCTAGTAAAAGAGATGACACCTTCTTATAACCTTTTCTTGCCTTAGAGATCACATACACCAAGACTAGGTTGATAAGATGATCCGTGCTGTATATAGTGTAAGAAATACTGCAGCAGTATTTCTTACATAGAAGGTGAAATCCAGCAGGCTGTAAACGTCTTGTCATTTTTGCGGAGCAGAGTGGAATGCATTGACTTACTGCTTGTAACTGTGAATGTTTTTCGTCACTGCTGAGCCTAGAATTAACTTTGGATGTTTCTGAGGGATCTCCTATATGGGGAAGAAACCTTTCGTAATTGTAAAGCTGAATCATTTATCACTTTCCTTCTCTCTCACTACCTTGCTGTAGGAGTTTGATCCTGAAGAGTTCTACCATTTGTTAGAAGCTGCAGAAGGCCATGCCAAGGAAGGGCAAGGAATTAAATGCGACATTCCTCGTTATATTATCAGCCAGCTGGGACTCACCAGGGATCCCCTGGAGGGTGAGGACTCTTGTTTTATGCTCTCCAAACTGCTGAAAGGATAACCAGATCTCCTGGTCACTACATAGCTGAAGGAGACTTTTATTTTATTGGTTTAATTTCTATTCCATTTTTCCTTGTTTTCCAGTTTGCTGTCAAATTCTATACTGTCCTTTCCAGCCCCATGTCTCAAAGGAATGTTGCTGGGGTAGGGATTGCACATCAACAGTGACAATTCTTTACTTATAATGTTAATAATGTCTCTCTGTATTATAGCTGAAACAATGTTAGAAAATGGCTTTATGATTTAACTGTTTTCTCTGTGCCATTGGACAGTAAAAGTAAATTCACCCTTTGTTTTTCTGATCTGCCTGCCTGCTGGTGGCCTGGTTGGAAAGTATCCTGTCATCCTGTTTTGATGTCCTCTGTGGGAAAAATGTATTTGTTGTGATTTTCCATGTGAAACCAGGACTAGGATGAATTTTTAGGTGGAGATGAGATTGTATTTTTACATCTTGCATAGCAGCGAAAAGAGAGAGAGTAATGCCTTAGAAGACAGTAACAGCTTTTCTGCTGGGTGCCAGAATTGCATATGGTAAACTGAATATGCTGTAAATGTACAGAGGCCCAGAAGATCCTAACTTTGGAATTTGTGAGTTAATATTTCTGCCTGGCACTTTGCTAGCTGAATCTCCTCTCTTATGACAAGTTTTATGATCATGTACAGCTTGCTCAGCAACAATAGAAAGTGTGATAGAGACTGGAGGTTACTGTGGAATATTTCAGCAATCGAACCGTATTTTTGTTTCTCAGGAGAGCATAATTTTAGCATAAATTAGTAGTCTGGATAGGACTAGTTTAACTTCTGCGGTGTTTACTGGAATGACAGTGACAGGTTGACTTCAAGTGAAGAGCTCTTCGGGAAAATTTCTACCAAAGATTGCTAAATGCAATTTAATAGCATTTGTTGAAATCTGACATTAAAGTGAAATTTCTTTTGATCCCTGTCATGGGAGAGAACCTTTCCATCACTAATTCCCCTTACTAAAGTCAAATTTTCTTTAGAAATGTGTGGAGATGTCAAGGTGCCTTATTTTCTTTCTGTAAGGAGGGCACCCAGAAATGTCAACGATGTCTGTGCAGACACTAGTAGTTAATGTAGGATTTGGTTTTGCAAAGTTTATAGCATCTCCTAAGACAGCTGAGTAGCCTCAACTAACTGACTTTCTTCCAGTTTGCTGCTGCTTAGCATTTTGCAGAATGAGACACATTCCATGGAGGGAGGTTGTTTGAAATGTAATACTTTTCTTTTCTGGAGTACGGAGGTGCCACCAGCCTATATGCAGATATATATATATGCATGGAATAGGTTTTAATTGTAACTAGCTAGTGATTTCCCCAAACTTGCATTTATTGCTTTTACTTATTATAGAAACCACCTAGAATAAGTCAGGCTGAAATTAGAACAAGTAATTATATTTGTCTTTCTGTAAAATACTGCCTACAGCTTAAAAGATGTTAAAGGTTATCGCTGTATAATTGGAGTGACTTTTTGCAGAGGGGAAAAATGTCCTTCCTCCTCTACAAGCACCTCTTAAAATCCTGTTTGTCTTGTATAAACAAAGAGAATAGTGTTTGATTGAGATCATTAGAAGTAATCTTTCCTCTTCTTTTCAGAAATGGCCCAGCTGAATAGCTATGACAGCCCAGACACTCCTGAGACAGATGATTCAGTCGAGGTAAAGCAGTAATACACTCATTCTGTCTAGCGCTTTTTTTCCTCTGGAAAAAAGTAGTCTACAGTAAGGAATTAATTATAATGCAGAGTAATTTTATTTTTTTTTTAAAAGTGCTGACATTTAAAAGCGCATGCTAAAACTAGAGTATACACTCATAAAAATGTGGAAATCTATGTTGTTGGGGTGAAATGCTAAAAAGTTGCAAACAGGCATTATCATCAAGTTCTGTTGATGTTTTTTTAGAGTTGCAAACAAAAATCATCTGGAGAACTTATTTATATCTGCATTTGTAAAACGCGATGGGTATTGAGGATAGTTTGCTTTAGTAATGGATTGTTGGAAAAATTTAATTGTATAACTCACTAGGTTTCAAAAATCCTTAGTTGTTCAGTTTATTCACATTTAAAAAATATAATGTTGGAGAAAGGCCTGAATCTTATAATCTACTGATTGTGCTAATAATTGTGGAGGGAATCTGCAACGGTCCTAGAGATACAGATGATTATCCTAAGGCTGAGGACTCCAGGGGTTTAGAAATATATTGAGTTTGAGTGAATACTGGTTAAAGAAGAAAAAGGACAAAAAAGGGACATGCAGAACGAAGTCATTCCAGCTCCTGATTTCCATTTTCTTGTCTTCTTTCCCCAGAGCCGTGGGGCCTCTGTCCAGTCAAAGAAAACTCCATCTGAAGAAGAGTTTGAAACTATTAAACTGATCAGTAATGGTGCTTATGGGTAAGGCTTTTAGACTTTGCTTTAGAAGAAAATGCTGTTATTGTCCTACTCAGGGTAGGGATATAGCAAAGTTTGGCGAATTGGTTTTTGTTGGGTCTGTAGCATAAATTAATTTTTCTTGGGTCTTACAGAGGTTGCACACTTGTGAAGTCTTTTACATTCTTCTGGGAGATGCATATTCTTGCATGTTCTCAGGGTTTCTTAGTCAGTAGCCCCTGTGCTTGGACATAGTTCCTGGCTGTGAAGTCCTTACTTTGCGCTGAACTGACACACAGCTTCCAGCTCAGGAAAATTAGTTGCCCTGCGTTAAAGCTTTCAGAATATGGTGTTCCTAATCCCTCTGTGGCACAAGTTTTCTGAAGCTCTTCCTAGCTGTGATCTCAAGCGTGTTTTTCCACTATTTCTGCACTGTTTCTTTATGGTAGGTAGATAAAATAGAGATGCGTCAGAACCTTAGCTTGAGATGACAAAAGCACCTTCCCTAAACATTGTCTCTAGGGAAAATATTGTTGGTTGATTGTGAGATTTCCTAAGTAATAGTAAAAAAATGTAGTTCCATGAGTCTGAGGAAATTATTTTGCACCCATTTCCTTATTGCTTGTCAAGGCATTCTGTATTTCCTTTCACGCTGTCTGGTTAAGTCCTGTGATTTGTGTTTGTTTAAAGGCTAAATGAATGAGGATAAAATTCTGTAGTTGCAAATGTTATTGGTGATTCATTGAAACAGCAAGAATATTGAGGGAGAAGTAGTTTATGCTTTTCCATTCTTCCATCTATTCAGGTTATAGATGTAACATGTGGCTGTTTGTAAGCACTTGAAATACTAAAAGAAATGCTAAAATTACATTGGGGCAAATCTACTGTGAGAAGTAATACAATAGAAACGCTATTAGATTTTATTATCCGTTGAAGAATCCAGAATGAAGTTGGTCAGTTAAAATTTTAACCACTCATGCAAACCTATCCAGAATTTTAAAGACAGTTCCTGATACTTTGCAGTTCGTAAATCCTTAGCAGTGAAGTCATTAGGCTGGAAGTGAAAAGCAGAGATATTCAGTAGGTCATAGCCACAAAACTTGAGCATATACTTGAGTGTTTTGTTAAAGTGGGTGCTTAGTTAATAGCAACTCATTTTTTTAAAATTACATGTGGAAAAAGCATAAGGGCATTTTTTAGTTAGTGAAGACATAATGAAGCATGTCGAAGAGCCATATTGTTAGACAAGAAGATTTTATATCTTTTCAGTCATATTTCTGCACTGGCCCCGTGATTTAAATGTAATTTTGTAAAAAGTGGAGAGAGAGGTGGTAGTTTTGCTGTTAGTCATATCTGTCTTTATCCTGGGTGTATTTTAGAGTCAGCTGCTGGTGAGACACAATACTATGTTAAATGTAATACACTCCAGAGAAAAGGAAACAAGTACTGATTCAATAAGGCAGGCAAACTGGGTGAAAATTTTATTTGCAAACTATATTATTTATGTACAGGAATCTAATGATCTTCAAATGATAGAAATGAAAGAAATACTTTACTGAAGGAAATCCCTGGTGACAGTGTTGTGTCAAGTTGATTTTATGGAGCTTGGAAAGAAATTGTGCTGGGTCCATACGTTTTGGACAATTTTTTAAGTGAAATGGTGACTGTAATGTTGAAAAATACATGCCTCTCTGCAATGATGCTTAAGGAAGTTTGTGACATTTTTGTCTGAAATATCTCCTTGTTAGTCACATCAGCAAAAATGCTCCATAATTCAAGAAGGCAGAGTAGCTTTTGGAAGGAAGCATCATGGAGTTCCTTCTTTCTTAGGGGAGCTTGGCACTGAGATGGGTTTTTATGGGATCACAGATAAGTTGTCAGGATCCATCTGAAGCATTTGCCATCACTGTTTAAAACAAAACAAAACAGTTTGAACTGAAAATGGAACTTTTCCTCTTGGTATGTGGTTTTCTAGAGCAGTGTATTTGGTGCGACACAAGACCACTCGTCAGCGTTTTGCCATGAAGAAGATCAACAAACAGAACCTAATTTTGAGAAACCAGATCCAACAGGCTTTTGTCGAGAGAGATATCTTGACTTTTGCTGAGAACCCCTTTGTGGTCAGCATGTTCTGCTCCTTTGAGACCAAGCGCCACCTGTGCATGGTTATGGAGTATGTGGAAGGTATGGTTGTCATTATCTACACCTGTAAAGGGACCTTAGATAGGATGGACGTGTAGTGTGTATGCAGTGTGTCTCCTTGTAAAGGATGATGTTTCTGAGTGATTTTATAAGATGTATGATTTTGAGCGTAATACTGATCAGTGCACTATTCTGAACATGATATACGGGAAGACCATCTCATGTATGTGCTCATCCTTTCTTCATGGAATGTGAGCTCAGTCAGCCCTGCAGTCGCAGGGGACGTCGTGATGCACTTTTAAGGAGGAGTGTACGTATGGACTGCTTGGGCTGAAACGGAGAAATGAGTCATTCTACTGCTGGTACAGTTTAGCGTAAGAAGATACTCCGTTTGTAAATCCCTGTGACTAATGCAACATGATTGCAGTGGAGCGGAGAGAACACAAAGCCACATGTAGAAAACTGCTGGGATCAGAAGTCAGCACGAACTTTCCAATCCTCATTGGAAAGAGATCCTCCTGCTCTCCTGTGGGATGGCGTGGCTAGATCCGTAGCACATTTGCTTGGCCTTACAGTTAGAAAAAGACAGTTGAGAAACATCACCGAGCAACACAGTCTTGGTTATTTACCAGCCTGTTTAAAAATACGTTGCTATTTTATGCTGGTTTTTTGTTTGTTTGTTTCACTTATTTTTTGGGATATTGTTTGATTTCATTTTATTACTATATCTTATTGCAAGCAATATGTTTCCACTGCTGGATAGGATTAATTTCTTATGCCTGGCTTGCTTGGCTGAATGGTTATGAGAAATAAGCTTATAGTCACTATATCAGTGCTCTTTCAGATAGATTAGTGGAATGAAAACAGATGTATTGACATAACAAATTTTAATATTAATTCCTATTTGCACGTAGATATGAAGGTCGAATGAAATGTGTGGCCAGTGTTTCTTAAGAAGCTTGAATCAGGGACCCACAAACTTATTTTCATGAGTACCACCGTGTCCAAAGGCACAACTGCCTCTCCATGTGTAAGGAGAGCCGGTTAGTAGTTGTAGAGGTGTTTGCTTACTATTTTAAGAAGCTTGTAGATCAGAAATAGTGTGTATCTCAGTGGTGGAAAGCAAAGAAATTTATAGAGAAGCCAAACAGTCATGAACTGCTCTTTCTTCAAGGCTTGCTTAACAGTTTGGAAACGACATCTCTATGGTTCTTGGACAAGCCTGCCCAGCGTACATGAATCTCAGTTTTCCTAAGTTTTTAATATTTATTTGAAGCTCAAGATGGAGTGTAGAGAGAGCTTTAGAATTCAGGCTAACAGGGTTGAGAGAGACAACCTTTTGCTGTCTAACTCGCCCTAATCTAGTATTGTAGACCCTCAGCTGTTCTTTACTGATATTTGCCATTTCACTGTGCCACATTTGCATTTTTTTTTCTAGGAGGTGATTGCGCTACACTTCTGAAGAACATTGGTGCCCTACCTGTTGATATGGCAAGGATGTATTTTGCTGAGACCGTTCTGGCGCTGGAGTACCTACATAATTATGGGATTGTTCACCGTGACCTAAAACCCGATAAGTAAGTCTTTAGGTCTTCAGAAGCTGGAGGGAGAGAGACAGTTCTTCAGAGGCTTTCTCCGTAGGCAAGAGGTCATGGAGTCTAGAGACAGTGGAGATCTTCAATGGCATCTGACATGTAGGAGATTTTATGGAGGCTCTTGCTACTGATGTAGAAGCAGATAGACACTGAGAAAGGGTGGGAAGAATGTCTTCAGGTATTGTCTCAAAGCTGTTGCTACACTGATGAAATTATGGCAGAAGGTAGTCTGATTTCTAGTCGCCTTGGCAGCTCTGTGATATTCAGTTGCATAGGAGGTTCCTTCCAGGTGTTTGATGGGGACATAACACTGAGAACTTGCTTAGCCTTATCTTGTTCTTCTTATTTTAAATTGCTTTTGGGAAACGATTAATTGAACATTGAATTATTTCGCTGTTTTTCTCTCTTCTAGTCTCCTGATAACTTCCATGGGTCACATTAAACTAACAGACTTCGGACTGTCTAAAATTGGGTTAATGAGTCTTACAACTAATCTTTACGAGGGACACATTGAGAAGGATACCAGGGAATTCTTGGACAAGCAGGTAGGCTGAAAAATTTTGTCCATAGATGGGGGATCAGATGCAGGATTCTGTCTCGGGATAGAATCAAGAGTTTGTAGCACTCCCTCTCTACCTCGATGCTGGGCTGTGCGTTGTAGAATGGGAGGAAAAGATACAAGTCCATCCTCATGTTTGTGCATAAATTGGTGGTGTTTGTTATTTCAAATGCTTGTTTTGGAGTGATGAACTTCAGCTCTTGGTTTAAGATATTGAAGGTGTGGCCCAGGCAGCAGTGCAGGTGCGAACAGAAGTTGGCTTAGGGATGTAACATGGATTTTGCCAGAAGGTTGTTCCACGGTCTCCCCCTTCTGGTGCATAGAAAGTTCATGGCAAGTTCCTATATGTTTCTACTTATAATTTTGTCTGATGGCTTAAACATTGATTTTTATCCCCATGATATTTACTAAGGGTAATTTTTCTCCTTAGCCTTCATTTTGCAAGCCTTAACCAGCAAAGTTCGAGATAGATTTTCCTTTGATGAATGAGTAGGTCTTCCATGCACCTGTTTCAGCCTGAGTTGATATTTCCTGGGCATAGTTGACAGGAGCTATACTGTTCTGGATGCAGGCTCACCAGTGCCTTGTATAATGGGATTAAAAAATACTTCTCTCTTCTGAAAATACCTAGGATCACAGCTGAGTTTTCTTTTTTAGCTTGCCAAGTGTTAATTCGTAATCTTCCTGGGTATTGTCTTCCTTTGCTTTTGAGTAATGTTTTTTTTTCTAGCAGGAACTCTCTTTGGTCACTAGATCATAGTCTTGCACCTTGCAGTGTTATATTTTTTACAATTATTTTGTAATTGTTGTTGCTTCTAAGCCTGAGGCAACCTAGATCTTCCAACATGATTTCCTTAGCCGTTGTCTGTGCCAGCTATACCTCCCAAGTTCAAATGCTGAAGTGTGTAATCGTGCTGTGCTGCTAATTCTGCATCTGTGAAACTAAATTCTGCTAGCACAGAGATGCGCGAGGTTTGTCAAAACTCAGTTCCCAATAGCTGTAGCTGTGCCAGTAGACATCCATCAAGCAGACAGACCTACACACACAGAATTTGCATTTTTCCCATATGCTTTAGTATACGTGCACCACAAAACTACTTAGCTGGCATGTCCACACTAGGAACATTTCACAGTATGTGATATCATTTCTGTGCAGGTGACATGTTCCTCAGATATAGACTCTTGCTCTATGGAAGTAGTTCAGAGCATAAAGTGATTAGTGGCAAAACAGAAACTTCCTTGTAAAGCTCTGAGGGGAAAAAAATAAAAAAGACAGCTTTGATGTGAATTTGGCAATTTGTAGATTTAGTGCTTTCTTGTGTGTTTCTCTTGAGGTCTGTGGGACTCCAGAATACATTGCACCAGAAGTGATCCTGCGCCAGGGCTATGGGAAGCCTGTGGACTGGTGGGCCATGGGAATTATCCTGTACGAGTTTCTAGTCGGCTGCGTTCCCTTCTTTGGGGACACGCCTGAAGAGCTGTTTGGACAAGTGATCAGTGGTATGTTTCTGTTCTGATTCTGAAGGATTTCAAAGTGTGCCATGAAGTAAAACCTTGAAAATATTGAGAATCCAGAATTTAGTCAGGAAAGATGAGATATAAAATAATGGTTTTTAATTTTAAAATATCTATATTTCTCTGTCAAAGTAGCATCCATCTGATTCCAGCTATTGAAAGTTGTTGAGTTGTTTGACATCTTGCTAGATAGTTCTGTCATTGTGTGTGGTGTGGGAGTCATGCAAATCCTTGTGGGATTGGGGAACGTATTTGGGGATTTTTTTGTTCTGCCTTTTAACTTAAATGATGGAGGATATGAAAGGAGCAGCCTCCAACTGGTCTAATTCAGTTTGATCTTGGTTATTGCTTCTGTAGTTGCAAACGTCAGTCAATTAGTAATTGTATAAATGAAATAAAAAGGAAATTTTAAGCAAAACACATTGAAGTTATTGTACTCAGTACCTTCATGTCTTGTGACTTTTTAAAGCTATCTCCTGCTTGGCGTTGAACAGATGATTGCTTTGTGTTCTCTCAGTGAACATGCCAGTGAAAACATTTCCTATTGGGAATGCTTTCTGAAACAGTAAATTTTTAACACACTTGGTAAACGTCCTTTGTCAAATGCAAATTTCAGCAAAGAACTAAATATGATGCATGAAATTGTTACCTGCGAATTGTTCTCTGTTCCAAGTAGAATGAGTGCGGAAAGTGCAGGCACGAGATACAGCCGCAGTATTGTCAGTGTCATTGTTTTCTGGATTGTCATGGAAGTCCCATTTCATACTTTATTAATAGAGTTCTTAATGCTTTTTTTCTCCACAAGCACTGCTTGGATTGACAGCAGCTTTAGCTGACGCTGAATTTTATGCATTTTGGAAAATGTCAATGCTTGAATTATATTAAATATGCGAGCTGCTGAATTCAAGGTATTTACAGTTCTGGGGCAGTAGTGAACACTGTGTTTTACAGTACAGGAATGTGAATGGTTATTCAAATCGATCGTGAAGCTGGTAGAAAGCGTCAAATCTCTTTGTCCCCAGATGAAATTGCCTGGCCAGAAGGTGATGATGCACTGCCACCAGATGCCCAGGACCTCATTTCTAAGCTTCTCCGCCAAAATCCTCTGGAAAGAATGGGAACAGGTAGGAGGAACCTTGTGCATAGGAAAGCACTAGCCAGAAGCAGGTAAAAACACTACCTTGCCAGTGATGCACACCCACCCTCATCTAGAGCTAGGAGTCAGTTTATACTGGATTCAATGAATCCTGTGTGATGAAGCTCTGAGAATTAGTGTGGGTTGTACATGAGTCAGACAGATATGACTGTCTTGTCTGGGAAACAAGAAAAGAGCGCCGTCAGCTTGGCAACACAACTTCTCAAATTTGTGCTGTTCCATTAAAGGCTTGAGGATTGTGTCTCCATTTGAACAGTGTATAATCACATCTCTTTGAAGTTCCCTTTGGTTAGGGGCTTAATCCCCTACATGGATGTGAACTCCTGGATGTAATAAAATAAATGAAAACTTCCCCATTCCTAGAGGCCTGTACTGTAGAATTTTCCAAACATATAACGAAGTCTCTTTGGCAAAGTCAAATGCCTATGTCAATCTTTCTGTATATAATGTCAGATTTAAAGCTTTACAAGTCAACACTTCTCATTTCCCATCAGTAAATAACCATAAATAATCTCTAGCTACGCTCTTGTTTTAAAATCATTTATGCAACATTGCAGCTTCACATCACAGGTTATCTGTTTCATTGATTTGATTTATTTGATTTAATTTTGGATTTTCAATTGGAAACTACACTTTAAGGATAAAATAAAACCTAAATATGTAACAATTCCAAAAGGCACATGTATTCAGCAGACTTAACGCGTGTGCACACAAGGGTGATGAATAGATCATGAATTAATAATAATATCAGATGGTTTTCGCATGTTATTCTTTAGTTCCAATCCATGTACTTGAAAGATGTTGCTGTTATGGAAAAGATGTAGAGTATCTTGCCTTATAAAATGAGTTGATGGACTGATTTTTTTGTTTGTTTCTTATATACCTGTAATGCTGAGACTGCTGTTCCACTTGGCATCTCTTAGTGCCACTGGCACTCAGCAAACCTTTTATCTCTTTTCCTCTGCTACTCTCTTTTTTAAAAAGACAGTAACATATTTTATGAATATTAATTTCATTTGGAAAAAAAGGCACATATTGGTAGACACATAATCCTTAGTTTCTCCTGGGTACCCAGGCTTTTGAGTTTAATAACAAAAGATACTAATTCAGGGAGATATGTAAGCCCCTGCCTTGTTTTAAGTGCATGGACAAGTTTATTAATAACAGTGGAGCCACTCACATGCTAAGTACCTTGCTGAGTTTCCTCTCTTTATTTAGCTACAAACAACATGGTATTTAGAGTTTGGAAATTTTAAATTAAGATGTTAATTAGTTCTTAAGCTTGCAACTTGCTGTGGAATGTAACAGCAGATGCTGTCTTCCAGCCAGTTTAGTCATGTGTTGTCATTAAATAGGAAGAGGAGGTGGGAAGGAGGAAATCTGGTTCAGATTTTATCCTGTATCACCACTTTGGTAAAAGGATAATTTTTTTCTCAAAATTCCTGGAAAATGTGTGACCTAAGTGTACTCAGGTACATTCTTTTAGGCTCTTGATATTTTTAGGGTTTGTTTTTCTTGTTATGCAAATGCTGAAAGAAATACTCTGCAATAAAAGATGCTTATTTCAGGTAGTGCCTTTGAAGTGAAACAGCATCGGTTCTTTAAAGATTTGGACTGGAATGGATTACTACGGCAGAAAGCTGAATTCATCCCACAGTTGGAATCTGAGGATGACACAAGCTATTTTGACAGTAAGACTAAACATTCAACCTAAATGGCATCATATTTTTAATGCTTGAAATTGTTAGAGATAAGTCATTTTTAGAAATTGAATAAAACACTTGATGGAAATTGCTTTAAAAGTTTCTATTGAATGCCAAGTCAGGTTTCTTTGAAAGCAAATTAATTTTAAGTGAAAAAATTTTGCTGCTGAAGTCAGTTGACCTTTCACTGCTGCCTGTGGTCCTGCCAGCCATGGCCCTGCAGTGAGAGGGGCTGCAGTTGTTATGCTGGGTGCTCCCAAAGTGTTTGGTATTTTTCATGAGTTTTTGAGCAGTATTATTTTTCCCTAGTGACCGTTTTTAGCCAATAAATGTTTGGGTTTTTTTTTTTTTGTTTGTTTTTTTTTTTAAATCAAACAAACCCAAAGTTTGAAGACAGGTATGCAGGGAAAATTCTTTAGAGATTTAAATAAATTATTTTCACTGCAAGTGTATCACCTTATTTCAGTGTTGTTAACTCTAATGAGATATGAAATCAAGTGCCTGTCTGGTGTGTATAAATGTCTGGAAACTGCCATGGTATCAGTGCTGTGTAAGATTCCTGGTATTTCCAGATAAGCACCAGGCAGAGTCAGTGCCCTTGGAAGAGAAGGGAGGAGTGTCATGTGATCGATGGAGAGGTCTCTGTCGCCAGAGCCTCTGCTCCCTCGCTTTTCTCATTTGACTTGGGAAGCTGAGCAGGTGGAAGGGTCTTGGGCTTGTCACTGGTCAGGGGGGTCTTTCCCCCAACTCCAGCTGCAACACAGGATGATGCTGGGCTATTTGAGTTTTCTGAGCTCTGGAAATTTCTGCTCTACGTCAATGGGATCTCTTCTGTCCGTCTTCCAGGACCATGGGACTCACTGATTCCATATGAAGCACATTTCTGCTCTGCTCCCATGTGTTGCTCAGGGTGAAGGGAGGGAGAGAGCAGTCGGCCTCTAGACCCTCGGCTGCCGCGCTGCAAAAGCAACGATCCTATTTAGATAACGCACTCCCAGTTTGGGGAAGAGGCTTTTAAGTTAGGGGTTGGGCGGAGAGGTAGGATGGGGAGAGAGAGATATGCAGAAATCTCCATGTGCTTGCTGCAGAGGACAATTTGAGTCAAGCTGTGCAGAGGAGACAGAGGTGTGTTTTACCTGTACTGAGGTTGTATTTGGTACAGTGTGTAGGAACCGAGGCTGTGATGTGTTTCTACTGCTAACTGGACTTACTGGACATTGAAACCTGAGCTCTGGTCACTGAATTGGGTCAGTGATAGGGAAAGGCTCAGCACAACAGCTGTGACAGATTCTGGTGGGGAACAGCACCGCGTTAGGTTCCGTGGTGCAAATCACCAGGTCTCTGAAGTAGGAATGACGGCAAACCCCCCAAGTGCCCAGGCATGCTCAGCAGGTTATCGGGGCGACTTTGAGGTAAGGCCTTGTAAAGGCTGGAATTCTCACACCAGGAGATATCTCACATAAGCAGTGATAAGAGTTGGTGTTGCTGTTACAAACCCTAATGCAGAAAATTTCAGAATTTACAAAAGTAGCTTTCTGGCTGATACAGTGCAGCAAATTTGGCTCAGTATAACTATCAGCTTTCTGTAGCCAAACTTATTAATGCCTGCTCCGCAAAATCCAATGTGGCTGGCTTAGAAAATCTCAAAGCACAAAATCTCTTTGGAGGCAGTTTAGATTTTTGCATTAAAAAATAGCTTTGCATATTGGCTGCTTGCCCATTTTCTTTCACAAAATCTAATCCTTTTTCCAGTTGTAGGAGAGAGAAGAGGAAATATTTTTGGGGGGTAGATATATTTATTTTTTTAAAGAAGGCTTGTATGTTTGTATGCAGGACAGACTTCGTAAAACCATAAAGCTGTTTACTGGAAATTGGGACAGTGAATTGTTTCCATGTTTCCTGCCATATGATTGTTTGCTGTAGGGAAGAAATATCCCCACCATGAAGGGTCTACAGGATTAGACACCTGCTGAGTATCAGCTGCTTTTAGAATATAATATAGCTTATGATATAAGATAAATTCAGTAGGAAGGAGGTATTCTTTACTGCTAATTATACAGGATGAGCAAAACTGGCTGAGTATGTTTCAGTATAAAGGAAAATACCCTGCGTGGTGTATGAACACTCAAAGCTCTTTTTAAGAAGACAAGTAGGAAAGCTTGAAGTGTGAGAGTTATCACCGCTCCCTGCACTGATGACTTGTGCCACGTTTTGTTCACAGCCCGTTCAGAACGATACCAACACCTGGATTCAGAAGAAGAGGAGGACACTAATGATGATGATCATGTGGAAATTCGGCAATTTTCCTCCTGCTCGCCGAGGTTCAGCAAGGTAGGAGCATGCTACTTGTGGAAAGAAAATATCTAGAGAGGAACACAGTTTCATTGCTTCGTATAGGGTAGGTTTTAGTCGTGAAGATGATATGTGGGAGTTGCATGGTGTTTAGTATTCACTGAGGAAACTAAAAATGGGTTTATTCTGTGATAGTTTGTGGCCTATTAGGAGGTGAGTACAAGAATAAGCTGAGAATGAGATTTTGCATTTTATTAATGTTTCACTAATATTGAGGGTACTGTGGAGGTCTCTCCTGAGTCTGATATGGTTTAATGTTTTTACTAATGACTTGGATGCTGGCATAGGGAATGTCTAAAGCTTATTTGCTTTGAACAGTGTCATTCTGAAAGGGTCTTCCAGTAGGTGCCAAGATGGTATTAGGATTAAAATTGATTCTGACACTTTGGAATAATGGTGTGAAATGAAAGGGATGCCATGCAGTAAGAGCAAAGATGGAGTTTACACCTCTGCTGTTCATTGTCTCACATACAGCCTGAGGAACAAAAGGCAGGGTGACGATTTCAAAGAGAACGATCTGGGCAGATAGTGCATTGTGAGTTAGATGTGCCAAATTACTGAAGCGGAAAGGCAGTTACCATACTGGGCGAGCAAAATATTTTCTGCAAGGCAAATGAAGAAATCCTTTCCATCTGCTTAGCAGTAGGAAAGCCATAGCTGGGGTACTTTGTCCAGTTCTGGGCAATGTTCTTGAAAATAAACATGGACCAATAAAAGAGGGTCCAGAGGAAAGCAACAAGAATGATCCGAGATCTACAAAACATAAAATCGAATGTGTTTCAAAATATGTAACTGCTAAAAGGAAAGGAGTACATTGGCCTTCCTGTTCTACCCAGAATTCATATGAAATGATGGACACAAAGGAGGTATAGGGTAGATGGTAAGAAAAAGTTTCCAATGTTGAATGTTAAGTAAGCCCTGGCATGGGTTGCCTGGGGAATTTGTGGAATTTCTATCACTGGCGGCTTTTAAGAACAAGTTGGAGAAACATCTGTCAAGTGATTACAAGAGAGCTGGTTGTGCTTTGAGGTGAGGAAATGGACAGGAAGCCTTGAGGAGGTCCGTTCTAGCCATGCTTTCTGGATTCAGGTCTGTGCAGGTGTCTCATTCTTACTCAGGTGATCTGAAATAAAAAAGTGGAATTTTGGACATTTTGAAGAAGTACAACTCCACTGTTAGCTTGGATAAAACAAAGTATGGTTGGGGAGGGGCAGAAGGAAGAAGAAATGCTGTTTTGAAGTCAGCCCGCTCTATGAATTGTATTTCCCTCTTTTTGATGAGACGAGAGTAGAAATTTTACTTAGGGCCTCTGAAAGGTGTTTTTCATGACAGTTTCTCCAGATTTTCACTACCAAAGTCAGTTTTAAAGCACTAGTTCATTCTTCTTTGTTCACAACCAGGCTACAGTGGTTTAAATAACAGTTACCGTTAATTTTACGGAGTTGCTCCTCATTTGCATCACCAAAAGTATGTTTAAAATTGGACCTGAGGATTAGTTGAGGTTTTGAAAAAGTTCTCAGGAGTACGTAAGGGTTTCTTTTTTCTGCCTTTTCTCACCGTGAGTATTATACATCTGTAAGACTGAAGCTTTTCTTTAGGGTTCAGTGTTTTTGCCACAAAGAGAGAAAGTTCACTTTTAATGAATTTATTTTAAGACCTGGAAAATTATACAGCATTTGTAATGTGGGAGGCATAAAAGGCTCATTGTATTTTGAAATTCTTGTCTGACAATTCAGCCATATGATTTATTAATAGTTATCTTGTTGATGCTCTGAATTTTTAATAACATTATTTTCATTAATCTCTTCTTATGTAAATTAGGTCCACAGTCAAGTGTAGTTTTAAAAGGATGGATTTTTTTGCTTAATCATTTAATTATTTAGAGACGGCTGTAAAACCAAGAAAGGCACTTTCATTAAGCTGTCAGCATTATAGTAGATTCCTTGAGGAGGGCAGGACTTTTTTGTTCTGAAATAAGCTTGGGGCAATGCTGATAGACTGATGATAATGAAATGGGGTCATGAGCGTGATGCCTATCACTCAATTGAATTTGTGTAGTAAAATTTCAAGATCCGGATGCCAGTCTTCAAGGCTTGTGGAGCCTGCTTTAGCAATATCTCCTCGTAGATTTGAGAATCATTAAAAACAAAAATCAAGTCGTTTCAAAAAGTCTTAGTATTTCTGCGGTGTGCTGGACTGTTTTCAGAGGACAGGTGTAGGGTGCTGTTGTAGAAAAGCATGTTTAGTGTTTCTCAAACTTGCGTTTTTCCTTTCCTCCCTGGCACACTTTGAGCATGTCATATCTACACTGTGTTATTCAGTCAAAGAATATTGCCAAGTTCATGCTTTCGGGGAGCATCTTCCAGTTTGAGAAGAGAGTATTCCCCTTGATCAGAAAAGGCCATGTAGGTTTGTCCCCTCTGTACAGAATGATCTTTTGCTATATGCAGGTGTACAGCAGCATGGAACGTCTTTCCATCCATGAAGAGAGGAAGACTCCACCACCTACTAAACGGAGTCTGAGTGAAGAAAAAGACGACCGACTGGACAGCCTTGGCAGCTTGAAGAGTCGAGACCGCAGCTGGGTGATTGGATCTCCTGAAATGTAAGTTCTGTAGAATGAAGTCTTTTGGTTTCTCGTAGCATCTGAGAAAGACAGACCTGTGCCAAAACTTCATGTGATTTATTTCCACAGGTGAAGCCTGAAGAGTGGAATAAAGAGCTGAAAATGAAGGTGTAGAAGTGACATAGTCCTTAAATGTACTTAATTAAGTACAAACATCTCCTAAATTTGTAACAAAGATTTTACATGAATTTAAAGGGATTCTAACCTTAAGTAAAGCTTTTATTTGTGGAAAGGCTAGTTATGTTGGAGATGTATCAACAGCATTTTTTTCTTAAACATTAGCAAATCCGAAGTCTGGTGTTGCCAGAGTTTTACCATTTGTCACAAATTAGTGAAACCCTTAGGAAAGTCCAAAGTTTCCAAAGTTCAGAATATCAAAAAAAATCTTATGTTCTTATAAAAATGTTAGTAAAATTTATGAATGCCCAGAATTTGGTTTTATTCCTTCATTTCTTAGAAGCTTAACAATACTGGAAATTTAGATTCAGGTGATGCCCCAAGCCTTTGCTGTTTTAAGTCCTAATGATGTAGCTCTATCTTCTAACTTGACCATATATTGGCTTCAGATACATGAGTTGGGTCTGTGCACTATTTTCACCCTTTAAAGTTCATTATCCCTCTAACTTAATTGAGGGGCTCTGTCTCGTTTTTTCTCTTAGATTGCGTAAGCGCTTGTCTATGTCTGAATCCTCACACACGGAGAGTGACTCCAGCCCACCCTTGACAGTTCGACGACGCTGCTCAGGGCTTCTCGATATGCCCCGATTTGCCATCTCCACCGAGGACGAGGGAGCCGTTCTCAAAAGGCCACAGTCCGAGGGGATGCTCTTATCTGCTGTGCAGTCACGGGAAGGGCTGCCGGTGCCCATTCCAGAACAACCTGTGGAGCAAGAGCTGCAGCTGGAAGGTGATGTTGGACCCACCACCCCCTCCACGGCCATCAGCAGCACCTCAACGCTGACAGGTATGTTGCCTTGGTGTGTGATGATGTGTTAGCTTGCAGACATTAACTCTGTAATACTGTGGATTTGGATGTAGGGTGATGCAAATGTCCCATGACAAGCGGTTATGTCAGTATAGTTTTGTGGCTGTGCTTGTCTTTAAAATAACATCAGTGGTTTAATCTCTTAAAATTACATCTGATACTTCAGTCCTGTCACTTCAACTTGATTAAGGTCTTCTCATACTTGAGACCCATATGATCTATTCCTGCTTACAACCACTGGGTGCCTACCTGAAGCAGCATTATTTTAAGCATTAGTCAGAGCAGATCACTGGTGAGCTGGGGCTGGAGAATATGGGTGTCAGCCATACTAAAAGATCCAGGGTTTCTATAGTTTTATTTATCTGAAAAGCTCTAATTTGGAGTAGAGACTTGAAATTTGCTAGGAGAGTGGGGTTTGTTTAAGGGACATGCTACTTACTGTCTCAGCCAAATATCCTGAAATTTAGCCAAGTTGCAGGCTTAAAAAAGTGCATAATAGATTTAGTAGACCGAATCTTAGAAGTCAATGTTTGACTTCTCAGAAGCTTTGCCTGTCTTGGGGCCCCATTCTCCAGCACTGGGCTGAGCTGGACCTTCCCTGTGATGGTGTCCTGGACTGCTGCAGTGCAGGGCTGGGCTCTGGGTGCTAGAGTGTCTCCATCTCCCGCCCCTTTCAGGACACCGGGAAGGCAGAGGGCGAAGCTGCCTGTTTCTGAGAACAGAGGAGGCCAGAGCTGGGAACTGGCGGGAAGTAGTAAGGAGGAGAAAAAAGGAAATTTGGACCAATGGAAGAGAGCAGAGAAGTTGAGCTGAAGGTTAGCAAGATGATATTTGAGAGGAAAGCATATTTTGCAGAAGAGCTAGATTGTAGTGTTGAAGAACAAGGACTAACTGGGTGAGAAAATAAGAAACAAGTTGCTGGGGAAACTGGGAGCAAGCAAAGCTATTATGGATGCCCTGAGGATGGAAAGGAGAGGAAAGGGGTACTGGGCAAGGAGTCAGAGTGGCCACAAGACTGGACAAAGACAAGATGAAGGGCACTGGGCAGATGTGATGGTGGATTGATAGCAGAAGGTGGATGTGCCTTAAAGGAAATTTACCTCCAGACTAGAATAAAGCCAAAAATCACCACACCTTATTATCCCTATTCTGCTGTCCGTGAAATTTCCTCCAAATTGTCCCATTCCCCTCTATGGCTCATCCTCCCAGAAAAGGCCCGATGCTGCCATCACGTACTCCATTAAACCATGAGAAAAGGTGTAGGAATGAAGGAAGTAAGCTGCCGCGTACTTGGAAAACGCTGGTGCTATAGTGGAGCCTTAGTTTCTCAATTTCATACTAAAAGCCTAGAAACGTGCTATTAAAAATTGCAAGAACACTTTCATTGCAAATTTGAATATCTACAAGTCGAAATAGGCAAAAATGAAGCTTCTCTGGGCAGACTGCTCCCCTGAGCCTAATGCATTAGAGCAGTCTTTAATCCAGCACACGGGATTCATGGATACCATTGCTTCAGTGTCTGCAGGCTGCAAAGTTAAGTCAGAGGCAGGGGATTGCAAGACAAGAATTTCATTCCTGTCACTCCTTTCTCGGAGTGCTCCTCTAGTGTATATCGCAGCCTTTTCACACGCAGCCTCCGATTGCGAGTTCCTCATTGTCTGGGAGCCTTATTTGAAACCCTGTGGCTGTTACATGTTGAACTGGCATCTGGTACTGAGGTCAATGGGAATGGTGCTTTGAATTTTTATTTTCATGGTGCTTCCTGCTTTATTTAGTATGCAGAGCAGTGGTGCCCACTTAAATAACGATGATCAATGTTTTGTTCCGTCCTCATTGTTCAAAATGTGGCCCTTAGGCTTTATTTATTGCACGCTGCTTAAAATTTGCTTTTGAAGACAGAATGATTAATTTCCCTTGTGGACTTGCCGTGATGCTCACCACTTTCATTTCTCAGCACCTTGTAAATTCTAATTAATGTATTTTCACAGTGCCCCTTTAAGGTATCAGATGGGGAACTGAGGCACCGAGCTTGAGTACAGCACCCCAGCCCCTAGCATCTGCTATTGTTGCATGCCCAGTCTGATTTTCAAGACTACTTTGCATTTTATGTATAATTATAGCAGGTTAAGTAATTCAGGACTAAATTGCAATGGTGCACAGAAGGGGGCAAATTTGGGTTGTCTTTGCAATCCATATCTTTACTTTCCCTGACTTTAGTACCTTAGTATTCTCTTAAAGTAGTTTTTTTATGTGCAACTCCAGTAGAACCTGGTTCTTCTGTTACAGGCGGTTTTAACTTGAAGATTGACAGTTCTTGCTGGTTGTAAAAATGGAGCACATTCCATAAACTTGTTTCTGTCTATGAATGATCCCATTGAAATGGCTTGCCTGCAGAACTGCACCGCAGCTTTAGGATTCGTGTAACTGCTGCTGAGCAATATGATTTCATTAGTGAGCTTTTCCAACAGAACAGAAGCCGCTAATTTTCTGTATTCAGAATAACACCATTTCTGTAAATAAAAATTCAAGCTCTGGGGTTTCTTCTTAGGAAAATTTACTCTTGGACTTCATGTAAACATGACTTTGATTTAATGTATTTTGCCTGTAGGGGAATAGACTGTTAGGAATTCCCTGTGGTTCTAATCTGTTTTAATTTAAACTGTAGCTGGGAGCACTGCAGATTTCTCTGATCCACGAGCTCGCAGTAATAGCAATGAAGGCCCAGACTTTACCGCTCCAAAAGCCATCAGCGATTTGGCAGTGCGGCGGGCACGACACAGGTTGCTCTCTGGGGAATCAGGGGAGAAACGTACCTCAAGACCTGTCAATAAAGTGATTAAATCAGCATCCGCCACTGCCTTGTCTCTCCTGATTCCCTCAGGTAAGAAGTGCCTCGGGTGAGGCATGGTCAGAATCTGCAAGCACTAAACAAAAGGTCTGCAGACAGATCCTCCCCCTTCCCTCTCCTGGAATAACGCCCTAGCTGGCAGGAGGGGAGAGATCTAACTTTTACAATCGGTTTAATATTTTCTGCTCGGCAGGATAACGAATACCGCTTTGCCACAGCCAGCAGCGTTGTGCGTGTGGTCTGACTGCAGCTTCTGCAAGTGGCAGCCGGGCCTTTTTCCCTAGTTTTGTTTAAATTGGCTCCTAGCTGGTCTCTAGACAATGGTGCAGCAAGGAGGTGTGGGAACAGGGATGATTTTAACCCTCAAGGTACTATTTTTTGGGGTCACATGCTAACTACAGTGTTGTTCGGGAACTGAACGTGTCTGATGCGTTCATGCACCAGGAAATTCCAGTAACTCCAGATAACTTGGTGGAGATTAAGTGTTCAAGAATTCAATAGTGTAAGTGACTCACAAAGCAAATTAACACTGAATTTCTCACCTTGTTGGCCCGGCTCTGTCTCCAAGCAGAGCCAGACCTTGATGGTTCCTTATTCCAGGTGGTAACTTATAGTGAGCAGCCCAACCATGCCGAGCTACGGCAGACTGGTTCAGCGGGAGGCTCTCCCCACAAGGACTTTGTCCTTCTTTCCAGTGAGTAAGTCCTTGATGCATTTCCAGGGCTGTCCCCGTTCCTGCGTAGATGGGAGCAGGAAATTGCAGCTGTGCCACGAGTGCCAGCCCAGCAGAACCTACTGGCAGAGCGGTGCCTGCCCCTCACAGCCAGGCAGCTGGAGGCAGGGATGCACCTGCTTCTTGGCACTGTCGTGGTGATGCACGGTACATAGTTTGGGTGTTGGTTGCTTTTCGAACTACAGACTCCCTCATGAAAACCTCTACAATGTGTATTTAATCACCCAGCAAAGGTTCCTCCAGAGCTGCTCTCATTTGCCAGGTAAATATGTGCTGGGCGATTCAGCAGGTGTTTCTTAATGGATTAGAGATTACCTTTTACAGCTGCGTTTAATATTCCTGCTCTGTGGGTTTATTTTGCTGATGTTGACCAGCTTCAATTTAAAATGAGAGTTCTGTATTTGCTTTGTGTTTTTAAAAGTGGATGTTGTTCCACTAGCAAGCAGAGTCAGATATTTAGCCGATAGCCCAGGCCGCGGCTGTTCGTTTGAGAAATGCACTCTAAAATACACTTGTGATGTTTTTTGGTAGCAAAGTCCCTGCAGTAGCTGATTTTTTAGAGTTAAATATTTTCGCCCCTGTGAATTTAAAACACTACCGAAACTACCTACATGTAGTTGTTGTCTGATTGCCTACTGACTTTTTGTTTGTTTGTTTTAATGCTACCTGATTTTGATTTATCTCAGCACCAACATGTAACTTGCACCAAGATCTAGAAACTATCTGATCTTTTGGAGGGAGGCAGTATATCATAACCTTGAAATGGGGTGTTTCAGGATTGTGCCTAGAGCAAATGCTTATGATGGGTTGTAAATCTCTGAAAGAGGAGAAGTAAACACTGTGACCCAGCTATAATCCTTGGCGAGCAGTGCTGCTGTATTAAATACACTCCTCCAAATGGGCTTTTGGGAAACTCTGCTGATTTTTGTATTTCAAAGCATGAATTAGTTGAAGCTGCAGGCAAACCCAGCTCTGGTGAAGACCACCAGCTTTAAGAGCATTGGGAGAGATGGTTTCCTAGCTGTTCTCTAACAAGAATTTTCTCTCTTTTGGAGATCTGATTTCCTAATTTTTGCCCACCTTTGTGTCATCACTGTAGATCACCACACGTGTTCTCCATTGGCCAGTCCAATGTCACCTCATTCTCTATCCTCCAACCCATCTTCGAGGGACTCCTCACCCAGCCGTGACTTTTCTCCTGCTATCGCAAACCTGAAACCACCAATCATCATCCATCGGGCTGGAAAGAAATATGGTTTCACTCTCCGTGCCATTCGCGTCTATATGGGTGACAGTGATATCTACACTGTGCATCACATGGTCTGGGTATGTCTCTGCTTTTCTAAAAAGAGTACCCTTGGGGCCAGAAATGGATTTAGCCAGGGTTGTGGGATTTAGCTTCATAAATTGTGTTTTGCCACCCTGTTTTCTCTTTCCTTATTTGGACCCAAAGTTATCTTTTCGGGGTGAGGGATTCCCTTTAAAGAGAAATATATTAGTAACAGCACTTTGGGTTTTACCTGTAGCAGTTTTCAAGCCCATCACAGAACCACAGCAACCTTTCTTTCCTTCTTTCTTCCCTGGTTACATGAATCCACCTTCTCTCACCTTTAGCACATACTTTAAAGCATGTTTCTGTGTACATACCCTCTTTCTCTTTATTGGGGTTGTTGCATGAGGGCCAGTCTTAGCTTATTTATTCAGACCTGTGTTAGCGATTATAGCCTGCTTTGGATCAGTTCAGTCTGCTGGGGTTTTCCAAGCAGTCACTTGGAATTGATTACCAGCCTTAAAGCATCACTGCTGCTATGCTGATTGCGTAGGGATTTAGCTCTTGGCTTAGTTGTGCTGAAAAGTCTGGTTTCCATGTCTGTATCTCTTCCTTCCTGTTATTTCTGGTGCTTGATCTTTATGTTCCTTTTTTGTTAACGTATATGACTTCTAGGAATGATCCATTCCCCGAAGCAGTGTTGTTTGAATTGTGTAGTTAGGGAGAGCAGAGTCAGGGTGAAGATTATTCATTCTTTTCCTTGTATCTCTGTGTTCATTAGACAATTTGGACTTCATATGCTTTAGTCATCATTTAACACTCATTCTTACCTAGAAGAATAATCTGAAGCTGCATTTTTCCCTTGCTCCTCTGCTTTCCTTGAAAAATGCTGAGTTTACCAAGAAAACTGATTTATAGTCTTTTCTGGCTAGAGGGAGAGTTGCAGTATTCTCAAGTATATCTGTCTCCTCACTGTAAAAGAGGCTTGCCTTTCTGAACAGTGATGGGGAAAGGCAGTGTGGTCATGGGGGAAAAGATCTGATGTCAGATAGATTGATAAAGGACAGAAAGTGGAAAAAGAAGCTCTGTTTGGGATGAGATGCAATATAGGCACCCTAAACACATGGCACAGAGTCTTATTTAAGTCTGTTGGCCTTCATAGATTCCAGCATGTACATGGAAGGATGCTGGATTTGAAATGGCACAGAAATTGAAAAAGACTGAATGCTTGTCTGGAAATCAAGAGTATCTAGTTAACGTTCCCGAGTGCTGAAAATTTTTGGAAGTGCATTAAGCCTTTTGGTTTGGGAGGAGCTGGTCTCCTGATCGGCTTAACCATCCTGGCTGGCTGCCTTGGATCGGGAGAAGACTGGCAGGATGCTGGGGGAGGAGTGGAAGAACGCAGATTTTTGTGCTTGGCTGTGCCAGTCGGTAGTTTCTTTCGCCCTTCTTTGAAGCAGCTGATGCTGGCTGCAGCAAGAGAGGAGATGGATGGGCTTTGAGTCTGATCTGGCCAGCGATCTCGTATGTTCCTCTTCTCAAATCAGTCATCTCCTTCTCGTTGCCAGCACGTGGAGGAAGGTGGTCCAGCGAACGAAGCAGGTCTGCGTGAAGGGGATCTGATAACCCATGTCAATGGGGAGCCGGTCCATGGACTGGTGCACACAGAAGTGGTGGAGCTGATTCTGAAGGTAGGGACTCGGCACTCGTAGACTTTGAAAAACAGGTAACATGCAAAATATGAGACAGCTTGTTTAAAACGCCGTAGGTATCTAATTGGCATTGTCTGAAATACAAGTATGTACACAGCACCTGGCCTTTGTTTTGTGAAAACTCATTGCTTTGGCTTGATCCCTAAATCTCAAAAATTGTCTGCTTATAATTTAAGCTGAACTCAGATGTTTTGTATAAGAAATAAGGACCCATCAGATACGTTTTTATCAGCGGTAGAGACAAAGGTTAATAAGATTTAAGTATACCTTTCCTTAAACATCACTTTAAGAAACAAATACTTGAAAATTTTTCTGATTCACTTTTGTTTTTTGCCTTTAGGCTGTGCTGATGTTATTAGCTCTTAATGCTGCTTTCTCAAGGATTATTCCTAGTGGTATTTAAAAGCAGCTTTGTAATGGTCGGTCTTAAAATTATCCAGTTAAATTACTTGCATTTTGATACCTCCTCTAGCTGAATCCATTTATGGAAATAAAACCCAAAGTTTTAGACCGTTCCAAGAGACACAGAGTCTTTGGGATTGCAAACAGAGGAGCAATCAGGATTATTGTGGGGTTTTTCTTAAGATGAATGAGACAAGCCATGCTCTATGTTGCAGATTTATCATGATAGATGCCTGATATGCTCACATCTGCCATCAGTCAGAGCACTGGGAATAGGATTGGTGACAGAATATCACTGTGTTCGAGTTTCAAAGTATCACAAGTATTAAATTGAGGCGGTTGGGATCTCAATGGGAGAGGTCAGATGCTGTGTTCTCCCTGTGCTCTGGGAAGCTTTACCTACCAGCTGAGGTCTGAGCTAATCATTTGTGAAAGCCTGACTAAAGAGGGCTCTCTCTCAGCATTTCCTTAATAAACGATAGGTGGAAATGCAAAGGGAAAATGGAATTTGACAAAGGATTACAAAATGGCAGGCAGCAATAAACTAGCAGCCTACCTGCTTAGCCTACAGATCTGCTTCAAATAGTCATGTTCTAAGCAATGTCCCTGTGTTTTGTTTCTGACAGAGTGGAAATAAAGTGTCCATCTCCACCACGCCATTTGAGAACACGTCCATCAAAGTTGGTCCAGCTCGAAAGGCCAGCTACAAATCCAAGATGGCTCGTAGGAACAAGAAGAGCAAAACTAAGGATGGTCAGGAAAGGTTCGTTTTGATGCTTCTCTGTGAAAATTAAATGGTAACCAAGATAATGTAAGAGAAATCTTGTGAAAGCAATGTGCAAATAATGTACATCAGCAGGTACATCGTTTAGTTCTTCTTTTGTTTTTCTTTTCTTTCTTTCTTTAACTGTGTCATAAAATTGACTGAAGTATGCCAATAAAGGTAAATAAATTATCTGGGCTTGTAAACAACTTTTGAATGCTCTTCCACAGTAAGAAGAAGAGTTCTTTGTTGAGGAAGATCACTAAACAAGCATCGCTACTTCACACCAGCCGGAGTTTATCTTCACTAAACCGCTCTCTGTCTTCTGGAGAGAGTGTGCCTGGCTCTCCAACTCACAACTTGTCTCCTCGGTCACCAACGCAGAGTTACAGATCCACTCCCGAGTCTGTACACTCAGGTAAAAAGAGAAAGAAACAAACAAAAACTCCCCAAAATCCTCACAAACAGAAAAAAAATTGGAGAAGATTTTTGCTTATTGATTAATGTTTGAAGTAAAATACACAGCGGCAGGTAGTAGATCTGTTTGTGAAGTAAAATGACGACTGTGATGTTGATTACCTTAAGGATGGATGTATTCTCATTCATTGATTCATTTAAAAGTGAAAATCCATACATCCTTTTAAGAATGCACTTGCTGTACTCCAGGATCCTTTCACTTTGATGTAAATGTGTATTGTAAGTTGCAATGTTTTTGTAGCAGTTTGACACATTTTCTATATTAGTTCAGAGAAAAGGAATCAAAACAGTGTGGCAAAGTCATATTTGAAAATTGAATCAGCTGATGGAATAAAGAGATTTGCATCCTGAGAACAGCAATGAAACGTGGCTTATCAGCTTGGAGGCTTTTTTGCAGAAAAAATGTTCTGATAGCAGAATGTTTCTTACTGTGTTCTGGTGTTGTGGGATTATAATGTGAATTTTCCGTCAGAAGCCACGCAATATTACCGTGTAATATTACTGCAGTGCTTTGTGGTAACATGGCACTTGGTCTTGATTTTGCATGTCTCATTTTCAATACCTTGTTTTAAATGTCAAATATGTATTAATCTTCTTAGTTTTGTTTGTTTGTTTGTTTTTTTCCTCTTTCAAGTTGGTGGCAATTCTTCCCAGAGTAGCTCTCCCAGTTCCAGTGTTCCCAATTCTCCAGCCAGCTCTGGACACATCCGACCCAGCTCTCTGCATGGACTAGCACCAAAGCTTCAAAGGCAGTACAGATCTCCAAGGCGTAAATCTGCAGGAAACATCCCTCTGTCACCACTAGCTCACACTCCCTCACCAACCCCACAGTCCACATCGCCACAGCGCTCCCCATCTCCTTTACCAGGACACTCAATTGGCAGCTCCAGTATTATTCAGTCTTTTCCAGTAAAACTACACTCCTCTCCACCACTGGTGAGACAAATTTCTCGCCCCAAAAGTGCTGAGCCCCCTCGGTCTCCTTTGCTAAAGAGAGTGCAGTCGGCTGAGAAACTGGCTGCCTCACTGTCCTCTTCTGAGAAGAAGCTGGCTTCCTCCCGTAAGCATAGCTTGGATATCTCTCACTCGGAGTTTAAGAAGGAGATGCTACAGAGGGATCCCAGTCTCCAGAGCTTACAAGAATCTGCGAACGAAACAACAGGTGGCAAACTTGGGCTGGCGGAAAAAGGGATGTTGCAGAAGCCAGGCTCACGGAAGTTGGGTGCTATTCGACAGGACAGGGTGGAGAGGAGGGAGTCTCTTCAAAAGCAAGAGGCTATCCGAGAAGTAGATTCTTCCGAAGATGAAACGGATGATGGTTCAGAAGATAGTCAAGATGGGAGAAGACTGGACAAGCCCCCTGACAGTGGAGACCAGGGCTCAGATTCTTTTAATGAGGATAATAAGTTTTCATCTAAATTGGAAAGCAAGGACAGTATTGAAGATGATGCCTTTCTACCTGAGGATCCAAAAGGTACAGAGGCTTTGCAGAAGGGAAATAATCAACAAGCCAAGCCTGTTTCAGAGCCACTGCAAATCAGTGTGCACCCTTCCCCATCAGAGGTCCTCCTGAGAACTTCTTCAGAAAAACTAGCTAGTTCAGAAAAGCCATTCCTAAGATCAGAAACAACTGCAAAGGAACATAAATTGCCAGAAATAAAAACTTTTGAGTGTTTTGGTCCAAAAGACAAGTCTTCCGAAGCAATCAAAGACCAAGGGAGAACTGCAAGTGCTCAAAAAACTGTAGATCGCACAGAACATATACAGTGCCCATCTATCAAACTCCTGGAACTTCAACAAGGTGACTCTTCAGGGGCCTCATGTGCTAAGCTTGACCTGAAAGACCCTCTGCTAACAGAAAGCAGTCAGAAAAAACAGGATTCCAAACCTCTGCTGGCACTTTCTTCATGGTGCACGGCAAGTGTGAGCACTTCCCTCTCGGTAAGTCCCGCAGATCGCAGTGAGAAGGATCTCAAGGAGACACTTAAGCCTGCAGAACAGCACAGCACCTCATATCTGTCTCCTGGAAGCATGAGTCAAACATCCCAAAAAATTCCTGGTACTGAAAAGCAACCCAGCTCGTCCCAGGCAGAGAATGCTTTAGCCGCCAGCAAAACGAGCCCAGCAGGTCCTGTGTCCTCCACGCTCCTCGTCCCCAGTGCTATGGAAAGAACTCCCTCCATGTCTCAGTTAGTGCCGCTAGCTCAGAGCGTGTTAGGCCCTTTGAAGCTCAGTATGTCTGGTTCTGGAGAGGTGGAAAAGAGGAAGGATTTCCCCCATTTGGCTGCCTCCTGTAAAGAAGAGAGAGATTTGAAACCAAAAAAACAGGAAACTTCACAAGCAGGAGCGTGTCAAGAGAAAGCCAAACTGTCTAGCGCAGGTGGTCTGACGACAAGGAGCAGGTCCTGCACAGAGTCACTGAACTCAGCGAAGCCCTGGGAGGCAACGTGTCCCGTGGTGGCAAAAAAGGAGGCAGCTTTTTGCAGTGCTAAAGCATCTGAAGTGTTGGGAGGTAGCTGCAAAATCACTCCGTCGAAAGAGCTGCCTCACACCCTTGGACAAGCAGCTCTGAGAGCCTCTCCTCTGCCAGATGGCAGCACGAGGCCCGGTAAAGAAGGGACTCTGGCGCAAGGGAAAAGCAAAGAGCTTGGAAGTCAGTTAAAAATACAAGACTTTCCCCTGTCACATGACGGTGCTGTAAAGAAAACATAGCAGCATCCCTGGTACACGTGGACTGGAGCATTCTACATTCAAAATAGAGACTGCATGTTTGAATTTTGTAATATACACTAATATAAAATAGAACTTGTGTACATCTATTTTTGGGAGGGTTTTTTTCATACTGTTTTTTGTGTTTTTTCATCCTTGCTATTCTATTTTTGTACACAGTAATGCTTGCCGTTTGAGGTCTCTTTAGAACAGGGTATCTTTAAAGCAGGGCTTAAGAAACAGTTTGTTCATTTTTTTTTTTTTTCCCTTCCAGACCTTTTATTTTGCCTGAGTTTAGAGCCTGTTGTGCTTTTCCCTGTAATCCTGCATTTATTTGCCATCCTAAAAATTCTGAGTACAAAAAAAAAGCAGCTTACTTTTAAATTTCTGCTTTTCAGCCTCCTCTTTGAAATGCCACTGAAATTCACAAATTTCGAGTATTTTCTTTGAAATTACAATCTGGCATCCTTTGGCAAGGAGAAGAAAATACTCTCTTGTCTGCAAGTTTTTCTGGAACTACAAACTCTCTTTGGTGCAAGTAAGGCCTCTTCATCACCGTGTGTGTTCACCATCCTGCACGCGTCCTTAGAGGGTACAGAGGCAAGGGACTTGGCTGGAGGGGCGGACAGAGAGAGATCCCTGTCTTCTCTTTAAACCAAGTAAAAGTATTTTTCAATGGAATTATCAGAAAGAGAAATCTCCAATCTGTAAGCTGTTTTTTTGGGGGGATTGTTTTTACTTATCCTTTACGGGACACATGGCAACTTTTCCCTCTGTTTTTAAAATTTTAATGATGTTTTATCTTCCTTTCTCTGGCTTCAATTCATAACTTGCCCTGCCTCAGAGTAAGTGACCCCAGGAAAGGGGTGCCTTGTAGGTTGATTTTAAAGTAGAGAAATTTGTAGTTGCAAGTTCTCCAGTATGTCTCGGACAAAGTTGTCTCGATGATAAATTTGGAGACTTTTCCTTCTCTTGGTGAGTCTCAATAGGTAGGGTTTTAAGGTGTTCCTTAACGTTTCTGAATTGGGGCTTGGGAAACTTGCTGAGTTTTCTGAATCTGCCTGTTTTAAAAACAAAAAAACTTATGAAGAGTTCTGACTCCTCAAGTTCTGTGGACAAACTGCAAGCAGACTTCAAAACACATGATATTTTAAGATTTCAACTTTGATCATTTCCACTGCTGAGGTCACCTGGTTCTGTTAAAATTTACTGTTCGCTCTTAGGTTTAGCCATTGCTTTGCTTTAAGTGTGACCCACTGGATAACAGTGCTCTTTGCTGAGGATTAGATCAATAATAATGCACCAATAAACGTGTCGAGTGGTGACACCTATAGCACTGTAAGCCGTTTCTTCATCCAATTAAAGGTTCCTCTCAATGAACACTCCCGTCATTTGTCCCAGATTGTGCTCAGCTTTTACTCTAGTCTTGTCTGAGTGTATCTCGCTGCGGATCACCCGCAAGGTCTAGTATCCTACTCACTGGCTTACTGTTAGAAGCAGAATGACCGTGCAACAGTATTTCAAGCTAAAACCTGCCCGTGTTGGTGTGATTTCATTACACCGCCACCATTTTTCATCGTCTTGGCCTTTTCTGGACTTGAAGTTTTGATTAGCTTCCCCTAAATGCAAATATGTTTTTATATAGGAATATAATTTCTCCATCTCTCTCAACTTGATTTTAGCTCAATCCACAAATCACAAAAATCTCTCGAATCTTGCCCTGCTTCTTTCTGTATGACCATTGTTTTCCCCCCATTATATACTTGATTTTGGCTGCTTGGATTTCATTTCTGGACCAAGTTTTGGTTTGAGCTTTTTTTTTTTAAAAAACATGTTTGAATGAGTGTTTACTCCGTGTGTCTGCGTGAACATGTATGGTGTTGTTACTACACTAACCAAAGCCTCGATGGTCCCAGATAACACGTTAATAAATTTTGCTGTGATGGTATTGAGAGCAGAGCCTGCTGTGCTGTCTCTTTGCTCTTTTTCCTGGAATTCATAGGCTACTCGTATACACTTGGTTTGTGATTATAAACTGCAATATTTCCACTGCCTTGTCAGGGTCCTGAGTGTCTCCTGCCTCTCAAAGCACTTTTGTTGATTAGCCGTTAGTCGTTCTGTGCCGATTTGGAGCAATAGCAAGTAAGGAACAAGGCAGGATCTGGTACTTATCTGGCTGGCTTTCTCCCTGATGGGTTGATCTACTAAAAAATTGCTGAGAAACAAGGTCCGATTGTCAGTACAGTGTATGATAAAATGGGCAGGAATAGTGAAAAATTGGTTCAGCATCCTGAGTCTGTGGTACTTACAAAGACAAGCCTTGAGCTTAACTCCTGAGAGCACCTAACCTTGGTGAGATGGAAGTCTCCATGCCATGAGAGAGCCCAGAGCTGCGTGAGGATGTGGTCCGACCTGGCTATTCCCTGGGTGGCAGGTCCCTGTTTCCTTCTCCTTGCAGGGACACAGCTGCTTCTGTGGCCGTGCTCCTGGGCATCCACAAAGGACTCTGCGTTTAAAAAACTTACGGGGAAAATCAACCTCTCTCTTAGGAGAGAGGGCTTTGTAACCTGGCTCATCCCATGCAGGTTGGGATGAGACTCCTGAAGGTACCAGCTGTATTAGCCGCCGGCTCCCTCCCTTTGCAGCCGGTGGTTCCAGCACTGAATTACAGAGTTATCCTTCCTCACGCATAAAGAGAGGAGTGAAAAACCTTGCTATGTCACAGCTTTTGTTCCTTTTGCCTGAATTGGCCAAAGAAGAGGTGAGGTGTGTGTTTGTTCACCTCTTTCCTAGCTACGGTACGGAAAGTGATTGGTGCAATTAAAAAAAACTCTGTTTTTTTGGAAGCCAAAGCCAAACAGCATTACCAGGAAAGCATCCTAGTGAAGCTCCATGTCCCCTGCTCCTGGTCAGTCCTGCAGTTTCCTTCGGTGTGCTAGGTGCCCTGTTGTCCTGGTTCCACCTTCTGTCAAATTTAGATGGTGCACCTTAGCAAAAAGTTTAGGCAAAAAGACTTTTTCCATGAAACTGTGATAATAAACCAGGTAGATACACCAAGATTTATTCCTTCCTCTGCTAAGACTTGTTTAAATACCTTCTCAGAGAAGCTTGCAAAACATGTCAGAGAGGAATGAGATGTTGGAAAAGCTGAGTGTGAAGAGCGAGAGTGCATTTCCCAGTGCAGGATCAGACCCGTGGTACCCGAGCAAAGCGTTCAGCGAGCCAAGAACTTAGCCTCCGTAGAGAACCCTGAGTCAGACAGGCAGGAGGTAGAAGTTGTGTGCATGTGGTGTGCGTTTGCTGAACGAGCCATGCATATAACCATCCAAATACGTTGCTTTCCTGCTTTGTTTCCCCTGTTTCCTTCTGTCGGCTTGGATATGTCTTCTGCTCTTCGTCCATTTTGGGATAATGGCTGGTTCCAACCTTTGCAGCTCCTCTCTGCTTCTGCGTCCAGCTGGCGTGTTCCTGCCCCATGCTTCATTTCAGTGTTATTTTTTCCCTTTGTCTCTTACTGTTGCAAACTAAGAGAAATGGATGATATTTATTGTAAATATTAGACTTTAGCATTGTAATGGCCACTCCTGGGTCCGGATGTCAGAGGCCTTGGGCTGCTAATGTACTAAAGAGCGCTTGCTGGAGAAGGGGTAGGAGTGACCAGTGGTTTTGGTTGCCACACTTGCATTAAGGTGTGATTTGGAGTATTTGAATTTTTTATTTTTTTTTTTTTTCTTCCGAAGAGGGGAGGATAAAGTCTTTCTCTGGTTTTCTCTTACTGGATGTGAAGGATAATTCTGTACTTCTAGTAGAAGATTTGACAGAAGTGTGTGTTTACTTTGTGTTTGATTACCATATCCAGGTGGCTGTGAGAGCACCTCCTGAGCTGGGCTCCGCCGAGCTGTGTCACTCAGCACTTAGCTAGATAAGAGAAAGTGTGGAATTTCTGTGTTTTTAGAAACTTGAACAATTGCCACATAATAGCGGTGCAATAATTTTTATTCATGTTGTACCTGCATGTCGATGTTCGAATCCTCCTCTGAAATAAATAATTTTTTTTTTTTTTTTACATAAATTCAGACTCTTGTGTGTTTCTTATTCAGTCTCCCCTTGCTGTCCTGCCGTGCCGGGGGTGGCTGTGCCATCAGCCCCGCAGGCTCAAGCAGCTGAGGTAGCCTGTGGAGTGTCTGGGCATCGGAGTAAATCTGCCAGGCTATTTGGGATTTTCTTCTCCATGGGCCAGATGTATGGATAAGCCAAAGAATTCCATTCTCTGGAATGCAAGCCCAGAATTTACCATCCTCTGCCAAGAGTCCCTTAAGTAGATTGTGTCCTGTGTCCCTGCTTGTGCAGAGTCCTAATGGTCAGTCCTTACTAAAGGGGTGAAAATGTCTAAACGTGTAAGAGAGAAAACTTAATTGAGCGACAGAAGAAAATGGCAAGACAAGGAGAGAATGGGACTGACGGCCATGGAACGGCGTACGCTGGGTGCGTGAATTACGCGCACAATAAAATCCAAAGGACAGCGGCTGGCAGCGGCACGGGTACTGCGTTGGCTTGGATGAGCCAAACGGCACGAGGCAGCAGGAGCCACTTAGTCCACTTGTGCACCAGGTTCTTTAGGCTTCTCTTGATAATATATCAAAACCTTTCCAGAAACAGCCCTTCGTTTCTAACATTTGCAGATGCGCACCTGCCGTGCGAAGAGCCTTCAAAGGCTTATCCCTGTCCTTGGAAATAAAGAGCTGGGGAGACGCTTGTGTCTGGGGGATTGGGCTCAGCCTCGTTCGCTGCTGCCAAAGGTGCTCAAAATATCCTGTGTCTCCGTGCTCCAGAGAAGCTGCCGAGCAGAAATCAGGGACACGGCACAGCTCCGTCCACGGGAGATTTGCAGTGCCTCTGCCGGCAGCCTCTCGCCGCGCCGCTGGTCGTCACTGCTGACGTCGGTTCATAAAAGAGTGATGTTCCTGCCCACGCGGAGAGGGACAGCATGGCTCAAAGGGGTG